TTTGGCACTGTGTGCAGGTGCCAAGTCCTGTTGAAAGGTGAAGTCTGCATCCCCATAAAGTTGGTCAGCAGCAGGAAGCATGAAGTGCTCTAAAACTTCCTGGTAGACGGCTGCATTGACCCTGGACCTCAGGAAACAGAGTGGGCCAACACCGGCAGATGACATGGCACCCCACACCATCACTGACGGTGGAAACTTTACACTGGACCTCATGCAACGTGGATTCTGTGCTTCTCCGCTCTTCCTCCAGACTCTGGGTCCTTGATTTCCAAAGGAAATGCAGAACTTGCTTTCATCAGAAAACATAACTTTGGACCACTCAGCATCAGTCCAGTCCTTTTTGTCCTTGGCCCAGGCGAGACGCTTCTTGCGCTGTTTCTTGTTCAAGAGTGGCTTGACACACGGAATGCGACACCTGAATCCCATGTCTTTCATGAGTCTCCTCGTGGTGGTTCTTGAAGCGCTGACTCCAGCTGCAGTCCACTCTTTGTGGATCTCCCCCACATTTTTGAATGGGTTTGTCGTCACAATTCTCTGCAGGGTGCGGTTATCCCTAGAGCTTGTACACTTTTTTCTACCACATTTTTTCCGTCCCTTCGCCTGTCTGTTAATGTGCTTGGACACAGAGCTCTGCGAACAGCCAGCTTCTTTAGCAATCACCTTTTGTGTCTTGCCCTCCTTGTGCAAGGTGTCAATGATTGTCTTTTGGACAGCTGTTAAGTCAGAAGTCTTCCCCATGATTGTGGTGCCTTCAAAACAAGACTGAGGGACCTTTTAAAGGCCTTTGCAGGTGTTTTGAGTAAATCAGCTGATTAGAGTGGCAGCAGGTGTCTTCTATATTCAGCCTTTTCAGAATATTCTAATTTTTTGAGATACCAAATTTGGAGTTTTCATTAGTTGTCACTTATGAATATCAAATTTAAATGTAATGAACATTGGAAATACATTGGTCTGTGTGCATTGCATGAATATAATGTACAAGTTTCACGTTTTGAATGGAATTACTGAAATATTTTCAACCTTTTGATGATATTCTAATTTACTGGCCAGCACCTGTAGGAGGAAGGACTGCCAATGGAGAAGCAGATTATGAAAATGTTGGTATCAGGATAGGCGAGAGCACGCGGACGTTCGTACCCATCATGACCCGCCGTGTCCCACAAGAGGAGGTTGACATCATGTCCATCCACATTTATTTGACCGTTGTAGTTGTCAAACGGAGCAGAATGATATTTCTCCTTGAAGACGTTGGTTCTGTAGGAGATGACAAGAAAGGTTTTACCCACTTCCTCGTCACCAACCAGCACACACTTAATGGTCTGTATCCTGCCAACAACCACTGAGACTACAGCACCTGAGAACACAATCATGATAATGACAATACGTGTACCTCTCACAAACATGCAAGTAAATTCATTCCTAATGTCGGACGTGCATCATGAGAACACGGGAAATCTCCCCATAACCTCGCTCTGTCCGACGTCTAAAACATCTGTATATGACCCAGTTATCTTCCAGTCTTTCTAAATTTCACTTGAGCCTATTAAAAAGCCCCAAACCTGAACATTATCTAACTTACCTCCTCTTGGGTTTGATGTAAAGGCACATCGGGGGCTGACGCGGTGCAAGATGGGACTTGTGATCTCTGCCCTAATCCAAGGGTTGTCCAATAACGGATGAATACACACAAAGGCATGTCTGGGTCTAGAGAGCATGGACTTCCTGCACTGTCCCCAGTGGATGGTGGCTCTGAGAATGGAAATTGTTATTTTCAAGCTAATTAAACAAAATCATGTCATGTTTCTATACGTACATCTTTCCTAACAGCATATCTTTGTAATGTGTTGCAGAAAAATGCAGCAAGGAGTTAATTGTTTTTCCTACTTTCTCTATTATTATTATTATTATTAATAATAATAATAATATTAATATTAATACTGCTGGTGGTTTGTCGGAGGGACCGGTGGCGCCAGTGCTCGGCAGCCTCGCCTTTGTCAGTGCGCCCCAGGGCAGCTGTGGCTACATCGTAGCTCATCACCATCAGTGTGTGAATGTGTGTGTGAATGGATGAATGATACACTGTAGTGTAAAGCTCTTTGGAGTCCTTACTCTGAGAGGCACTATACAAGTGCAGGTCATTTATTATTTATTTATTGTTGTTAATAATATTATTATTATTATTGTTGTTGTTGTTGTTGTTGCTGGTGTCCAGTTGCATTTGCATCTTACTGTGTATGTTCTACCCATTAGATATTTTACTTGCATATCTGTTTGTAGCATTACAGGCTAACGGCTGTCCCCAGGGGAACGATGAGGATAAAACAGTGACTGAAAATGCACTGAACAGTCTTTCTGTTCTTGTCTGATTAATCCTGCTCAGAGCTGATGATGATGGCTGGTTATTATCTCATTATCATCACCGGGTCGACACACCACATCACACAGCTGTCAATTTAAAATTCACACTTTCCATCACACATGCATATTTTTATTCAGTGGAAGACAACTGGAAAAAGCTCACACATGGATTCCCAGACAGAAAGACCCAAACTGTCATCCTTTAGCTGTGCATCAAAGTGCTAACCACCTGTTCTGAACATCATAAAATCAGTTATTTCATGTTAAATAAAATATAATAAATCTGATGAGAATCTGCTTTACATAATGCAGAGATCAAGAACACTATAGTTTCCTACTGATGGCCATTGGATGCAACATGAATTTAACTGAAGATACAGATGGGAAGGCTGGATGATTTGTATTTGTTTTTGAATTTTCATTTTGTGTGAGTGGCTACACCTCTGCCTTTGAAGGTGATGGGCTGGAAACAGAAAGAGGACAGATTGTGGGATCCTGGTCTGCAGGGGTCAGGATTTACAGACAAAACTACTGAACCAGTGTGAGCAGCCAGAGGTCACTGATGCACATCAGGAGTTGCATGTTGTTGTTGAATTTTAACCTATTCTTATGAGAAAAGACCTCTCTGTGTAGGCTGCTGCCGATGGAAAATGGATAGATGGGAGGAAAAAGAAGACTCCATCTGCTGTTGAACTTACAATCAAGCAGGTATATATATATATATATATATATATATATATATATATATATATATATATATATATATATATATATATATATATATATATATATATATATATATTGGTCTCCATAAAGAATCAAATTTTAAAGCATTCCAAAATATAATGAAAAATACGTTTTTGTTGTGTTCGTTATTGTAAACTAGCATTCAAGTACAATTTGTTCCAGAAATCTCAATTTTCCTCAAAATCTAACAATGTGATTATAGTTCTTGGTATTGCATTTACATGTAAAAACTCCTAACATGGGGGCATAAAAACATATACAGCGTAGCCTATTTTCCGGACTATAAGTCGCTCTGGAGTATAAACATGGACGTAATTTTGGGGGGGACAGGGGGGACATGTCCCCCCCACTTTCTCCAAAGTCAAGTTTTCAACCCTGCACTTTTTACCAATACTTTATATTAAATTGGCACTGGTTGAGCTCTAGGACCAAGCAGAAAACAACCATTTGTGTTGAAGCCTGTTTCCCATTAGAACATACTGTAAAGACCCCCCCCCCCCCCCCCCCCCCCCACCACCACCACACACACACACACACACACACGTGTCCCCCCCACTTCTAAAGTGAAAATTACGTCCATGAGTATAAATCGCATTTTGGGGGGAAATTTTATTATTTTTCTTACAAATTTTGACACCAAGTGTTTCACATTGCAAGACAAGTACCGGTGTCAATAACAGAATAAACAACACGGCGCAGCAGCGCGCCACGGTCTCCAGCAGAGGATGGTGGTGTTTGAAACCCTCCCAGCGGGACAGGGGAGCTCATTCCTGGGTCGGATCCAGCCCGCAGCTGCGTGCCACGGTCTCCAGCAGGTGATGGCTGTGTGTTTTTAGTTTCCTGCGGGTCAGGGGAGCTCACTCCTGGGCTGGATCAGGTGCGTAATGGTGCGCCGCAGGCTCCAGCAGGTGATGGCTGTGTGTTTTTTATTCCCAGCGGGGCAGGGGAGCTCATTCCTGGTCCGGAGCCGGGCCCGCAGCAGCGTGGTTAGCCTACATAATTTGATATACATGTTGCTCCGGAGTATAAGTCGCAGGACCGGCCAGACTATGAAAAAAAGTGCAACGTATAGTCTGGAAAATACGGTAATTATAAGTTCCTGTAGTTACAAAATTCTTTTGGAAGCCTTGTGTTTATAAATTACACAATAAATCACAAAACAAAGAGAGAAAACAGTTCAGTCTAGTCACATATAAATGGACACCTGTGCTGATCTAAGCGTGTGTAATCCATCTGCTTTGGTTGTGTGTTGCAGATGTTCAGCCTCTTCTATCTCATTTAGAAAGGTCTGATTAGTCAAACCACAGCCGAGGCTTTCACAAGTCAGACTCAGCAGAGTTCATGTTTATCACCCATAAACACATGCATGACTCGACTTCCACAAGCTGTACACATTCAGTTGTCATCGTTGTGCAGCGTCTAGAGGCCAATCACAGAGGAAATGGGCTCTGAATGAATGCTGTTCCTGCTTGACTTCAGCTCATCTGTCAGAGCCACCGCCCATTAAAGGTCAAGGAAATGCAAGCAGCAGCGTGCTGGATTGAAGGCCCCATAATGGCTTGGATTTCTTGGTGTCTGCTTTGTTCAATGGGCTGTAGACCATTAGCTCCAAATGTACAAAAGCTAAAAAAAAAAAAAAGGTGAAAAATGTTAGTCATTCAGGTGCAGAGGGCTGTGTCCACCTAGTGCTCATGCATGGTAACTACAACAGCAGACTCAAAGATAATCCCACCCTGTAGTTTCCTGATAAAGCATGAACAGTGGCGCATCAGAGTGGCTGTGCATCTCTGACTCAGTATATTCCCTCTTCTGTAACTTCCTCATGGAGACAGTAATGTAGTGTTGGGTGTTCCCGAATGACAAGGCAACAAATCAAACAAAACTAAAACAGCTTGTTTGGGTTTAGGCACCATTTTATTTGGCATAATTTAAAATCATTTCACTGTTAGTTCATTTATACACATATGCTTTTTGTTATTTATAAAACAATTAGATTTCTACAGATCAAGTTCCCAGTGTAAAAGCATAGTACCACACACACGGTATCATACTGCTCCAGGACACAGGCTAAAGAGCCCACAGGTGTTTCTTCCACTTTTACTCAACTGACTGAAATAGGGACAAAAATAATACCTTACCACAGATGACGGTTTTACACATCGTGCATACATTCAACCTTTTTGCCACATCTTTTAGTTTTCAAAGCACATCAGGGGTCAAACATAACCCTGTGCTTATACTGTTCTTCATTTACTTCACACTTTGCCACAATTGAAGTTCATTTATTTACCACCTTACACAGGAAAGTACATCAAAAGTACACCAGGAGGGCTGCCATTATTGCTGGTCGGCGTTGCACTGAAATGTTAGAAAAATATTTTAGAAAAATATATAAACTTTTCAAAAGTGGCACCATGACACCAATGCAGCTCTGATAAGTTAACTTGCACTTTTGCTTTGCCCTCGATGCAACACGCAGAGCAGGGACGTAAACCACAATCTGTTAAGAGCTGTTAACCCCGTCTCTAATGCACACAGTTGCAGCGCAAGATGTCAGATTAGCACCCGTGTGTCACAAAAAAGGCTGCGGGGGAGTGTCGACTGACAGGAAGTGAGGCAGAAAGCGTCAATCTGAAATCTCGGAGCCTGAGCTTGTCACATAGTGCAGAATAACCTTTGGGTTGGAGCAGTTGTAAGGTCTTTGGTTTAGACAAGGCACCTGACCAAAGTAAAGGGCTTCTTCAATAATAAACTTGGGCTTACAGCTGTGGCGCTGCTGCTTCTATGGCAAAGTCACATTTAACCCAGCCAAACAACACAGGGACATAACCTGATGCAAACCAGCTAGAACATATTCTGGTAATATACACCACACTGAAATGATTATACAGTGGTATCTGTCTGCTGATCTTTCAACAATCATGTTAACTGACAAGGGAAGTGTTATGGAGTTCTAGTTCATCATAATTAACAATAGTAAATGTACAATTTACTGATCAAATAAACACGAGTTATTACAAAAATATATTCAACTTTGGCCATAACTGCATGTGGAAGTTAAAAACCTCACAGGATTAAGAAAAAAGTCATGTACAGAGTAAATTCACCATTAGACAAATAGTTTTCTGTGAAATTCTTAGGCATGTATAATAGCACTCGATGGGAGCCCTTCAGATGCAGACAGGCGAGCAGAGCAGAGCCGGTCTGACTAAATATGAATACATAGAGTCCTGAGGAATCCTGTACCAGTATGGTTAATTTGGCATTTACTCTTCTTTTACCAACAGGAGAAAGGCTTCGCTGCTCTTACAGAGTCCAGATTATTTTTTGAAGGCACACTGGCTCTTCCGTGAAGGGAAGCAAGAGCAGTGAAGGGAGTTGGAAGTGCCACCTGCCACACAACATACCAAACTTGGCACATACTATTGGGAAATCAATCTTTAATTTTTGCATTTGGTGAAGGGATGCTGGTATCTGTCCAGGAGTCGTAACGCCTCATGGACATCACTTGAAGTTTAAATCTTGTTCAACTTATGTTTGAATGTTTACTCCATCTTAAGAGGCAAGTAAAAAGATCTAGAAGGCATCTTGGCTCAAGACCCAATGAGATGCAATGTAGGTGAGAATATGAGGTAGTCATTAGTTCTCCACCTGCACAAACGCAGATCTCCTCTCTCCAGTCAATTGGGGAAGCTTTGTCGGTTTGTTTAGATGTTATGGCTTTTGGTAACCATGATCAGCATTATATAAGGCAAAGCGTAAAAGCTATAAATCAAGAACAGATGTAAAATTAAAATGTGTAAATATCAAAAGTTAAAAATGTAAGGAAATTTGAGGAGATGTGGTCTGTTGCCTTCATTCTGAGTCACTTTGGTGAATATGGCAACGCAGAGAGATCCTCCAGGAGATGAGTGAAAGGAGTAAACCAGGTGCTGAAAAGTGACAGGCAGAGCTGGAAGCAACCAGATATCATTTGCTGCTCAACCTTTAATTTGCATCTGTGGATCTCCATCATCCCCCTTCATAGTCCAAATCTGGGAACCATTCATTACAACAGCACACACTTCTTGTGATTCTTTTTTGTGACTGGATACAACACCGCCCTCACAGCTTCAGCGAACACATCTCTGACACCATCCTGCTGCAGCGCAGAACACTCCATGTATTTAACTGCCCCGATCTGCTTGGCCAGAGCGTTGCCCTGCTGGTTGGTGGTAGGGGCCAGACCCTGCTCCTTTAGCTTCTTCACTGTTTCTGCGTCGCCTCTCAGGTCCTTCTTGGTGCCCACCAGAAGGATGGGTACATTTGGACAGTGATGGGACACCTCAGGGTGCCACTTGTGTCTGACGTTGGCATGGGAGGAAGGACTTCCAATGGAGAAGCAGATTATGAAAACGTTGGTTTGAGGATAGGACAGGGTGCGCAGACGGTCATACTCCTCCTGGCCTGCTGTGTCCCACAGGTTTAGACTCACAGTGCGGCCATCCACACTCATTTGGGCACTGTAGTTGTCAAACACTGTGGGAATGTATTCTTCTGGGAAGGCATTGGTTGTATAGGAGATCAGCAGGCAGGTTTTTCCCACTGCCCCATCACCCACAACCACGCACTTAATGGTCTGCATCCTACCTACGACCACTCGGGCTGCAGCACCTGGCAGGAGAAAGAAAAACACCTGAATATAATACAATACCCTTTATTCTAGCAGACTAATACCAACCCATTTTACTCTGAACACAGAAAAAAGCGTGTTTCTAAAAAAAAGTCGATTAAATTGTTGGACTCATGGGTCTGAAACTTAAAACAGAAGTACCGATTTTAAACAAGTTAGCACCCAAGTTAGCCGTAGCTACCGTTAGCCCTTTGACGTAGCGTTATTTACCGTTACAGACGTAAGTAAGGTACAGCAGTTACGGTTCGGTAAATAAAAGCGGCAAAACAATAACAGCGACCAACGGCTAACACGTGAAGTCATAGTTAGACAGATTTTTTTCTGTTGTTTATTATCTTTGGTTTTTCGCTAATAATACTAGGCGTTCCCCCAAGCTAAGGAACTAGCGCATTTGATACTAAACAGGCTAACTAGTTAGCAAACAAGCCAAGCAATTATTTGAAAACACCTCATAAAAAGTCGATATCTGGACCAGCAACTTCATAACAAGTAATCTAAAAAATATTATTTATCAAAATACACATCATACTGGCAGCATACAAGTATATTGTTGAGTAGTTAGTAACTTACCGCCACTTAGCTTTCGATCTTTTCTAGCCTGCTTTAGTCAATCACAGCCGCATCCGGGGAGTCGCCCTTTACGTAAATGCTGGCGTAAGCGTAAATGTGTGCTGGTAAATGTAGTTTTTTCCCCCACATTATCTTCCATCTTTATTTTTGACACTAGATGTCGGTGTTTAGCCTTTCTGGGAGTTTTTCCCTTAACTTTCTAAAACAAAGAGGATGTGAAAAACAAAATAAAGCGTATAAAATGATTCAGTTTCCCACACTTACGCTTAAAATGTAATCAGTTCTTTTCAGATCACTGTTGTTAAGTTTCCAAATCATTTTTAGACAACTGAAATGTGTTGCTGAACTTTGCTCCAAAGACATGTCAACAGCTTCTCACATGTTTTTGAATACAAAAAATGTGAAAATATTCCAAAGTTTTCAGAATATTTAATGGATTTTGATGCAGCATGTTATCCATCACGCTATTGATTTATTAAAATAATATAAAAAATGTGTTTGCAGAATTATTATTATTAATCTCTGTGAACATTGTGCCGTTCTTCCAAAGGGAAAAAATTAAATCAACAAAACTAAATGAATATCAAGTAAAAATTAGCCTAGTAGTTAACCTAAAACTAAAATATAAGCATTAACACAACCGTGTTTGGTTTGATCACCAAAAAAAAAGTCGGATCAAAATTAGATGGGCATCATAGTTTTTGTAACACGGTATTTCTTCTGCAACACGTGTACGCTTTTTCAACAGTTTCATTCTTTTATATGAATGAAAAGAAATACCTTTTAAGTTATTTTGTTTTTACCTTCACTCAACCCTTAAAGCGGTTTGGTGCACATTTCAAGTGTACTTTTTTACATTTTCTCCTGAACAAGCAACATTTTAGTCACCTGCTATATGCTTATTGCATAAAGGTGTTCCCAGCATTGTTATCTCATCCTGTCTGCAATTATCTTTTAACCCCAGATTCACTTTTTCATGTTCAGGCATCTTATGATCTCACTCACCACTTGCTTTCAAATCAGTGCACAGATCTAACTTTAAAAACAGAAATGGCTTTAAACCCCTCCATCTTGTTGATGATGTCACCTTTATACACTACAGCAGGTTAAAAGGTCACCGCTGACCAACAGACTGAGACTCAAGAACACAAAGAGGCACCGGTTTATTGCCTTTCCCAAGAAGTTTTGGCGTCACTGCTGCCTTTAAAAAGGGAATTCCCGCTGGGACCCTTACCCATAGTCACCCTCCTCCGCAGCTCTTACACCCTCTCAATTCTGCCAGAAGATTCCCCCGGATGGCTGTAGCATTTCCATGACGACAGTCCCTAAAAGGATTGGGGGGAGACTGTGTCGAGAGATGCAATGAGCGGGAGTTGAGACGACAGAGAGTGAAATATGAAGGTGGCCGACAAGAGGGCAAGAGCAACTGTTGCTTTGGAGGGTGGAAACATGAATAGAAAACGTGATGGGGGGTAGGGGTGGGGGTTATACACATGACACTTTTATGGTCTTTATTTGTCACCTTTTTACAAATTCATGAGACATAGTGAAAAAGCTATACAATAAAGTTATAGATACTTTATATAAAATAAAACTGACAGCAAGCATCTTCTTACAGCCTCTTCTTCAGTTTGTAAAGTGCATCATTACAACGAGGCCTGTCAATGGGAACAAAACAACAGTATTGTACCGAGTGCAGTTTAAAACAATGGTCATTCAGGTGAGGAAGCCACAGTCAACATTTGGACAACCCTCTAAAAGAAAAGAATTAGACTTCTTCCCTTGGCTAAACATCTAGGACAGGTTTTCACCTCCAAATGACAGCACTTCCTAGACACAGAGTTATGTTCACTTGGTGGAACTCTAATAAGGGTTACGGCTGTTCTATAAAGGAGGAGAAGGCATCGTCCATGGCTGCCCTGTTGCCTGCAAAGGACATGAATGAGTTTGGAAAGAGGTAGAATGCAGAGAATCCACTATCCTGCTATTATATTCAATGCAAAACATAAAATAGCATCACAACTTTCAGTGCAGCCTCCTTTAACACACAGAACCCTGCATGCAAATATACAGACAATTTCAGTGAGGTTGAACAGTAAATAAAGATTTAGGAGGAACCATAAATCCACACCACAAAAATATGACAGTATCGGGTTAAGGTGGCCCTTCCATCACCTCCACATTGGCTGAGATGATGTAGCTCGAGCAATCTTTGGACCAGGTATCCGTGAAGTTGCTGGACTTTTAGAATTGGTAGGGGAAGCGCCTGAACTTGACGTCTTGGCAGTTTTAATGTGAGCAGCTGAAATAACAGCTGTGCGTATGGTCTTAGCCGTTGCTGAGGATTGGCTTTGAGCAGTCTGAGGCTGGGATGGGAGGTGTGTCTCAGTGTTCGAAGCGAGTCGTTTGGACACACGGACAGGAGCTCCTCGAATAAAGTTTATCTGGGTACTTCCAGAGACCTTATCCAGAACAGTTCTGGCTTTTGACCTGGGGGTCAAAGAGGGCTTTTCTAGAACTGACAGCTCAACAATGCTTCTCTCCCGTGTGCTGCTGCTTCGTTTAACCTCTGCCTGAGCTTTTGGGCGAGATACAGCAGAGCGCCCTGAAACGCTGCGAGTTATGGACAGCCTTGTGGGTGGGTTTGGAGGAATTGGGGCTCCATTTAAAGGCTCAGTTTTTGAGCGCACTCTGGGAATGCCTGTGTTGCTTGAAGGGGCTGTCCGTGACACAAACCCCCTTTTGGACCCTATCCCACTGCGCACAGGAGTCTTCATGCCTCTTGTGTCTTCCTTTGATGCCGGAGACCCTGCAGTTGTCCCCTCCTCAAGGTCAACCTCCCTCTCCTTCCTCCATTTAGAGCAAAGGCTCGATGTGGGTCGTGGGAGTGGGGAGGTCGGGGGTGACAAGGCCTCGTAGGATCGGAGGCCTTTCACCAGAGTGTGGCACTCCAGTGTTTCCCCTACTCGTGAATATGACCTTGCCATCTCCCTCTCAGCAGTTGACATGTCAGAGGCTTCTTCTGGCTGTGACTGGCTGAAACCTGGAAGACCAGAGGGCATCCAGCCCTCCTCCACAGGTGTCAAAACCACTTCTGTCTGTTTTGCTATACCTACATCATGAATTGCCTCGCTTATTTCAACAGATGGAATGTCTCTAGTTCCAGGATGGGACGGTACTTCTTCAGTAGATGATTCTAATTTGGTCTCAGATTTTGGGTGCTTCAGCAGCTCAGCCTTGGTGTTGCTGTCAGAAAGAGTTCTGCTGGCATCATTGGACTCGCCGAATTGCAAGCTTTCAGTTTTATCCCGAGGAGAACATTTTGTGTCCGTCACTGGCAGGCCTAACAAAAGCCTGCAAGGGGAGACATGGTTCTGAACATCGTAGGCTGGTGTGTCAGTATTTATAGCAGCGGATTTTGTCCTGGAACTGTTCTGCATGTGTTTTTGAAGTTCTGTTGTCTTCTGTTGGCCTTGTAGCAAGTAAGAAATGCTCTCAGGCCCATGTTGTTTTCCAGGCAAGCGATTTTCATGAGGAGAGGACGTAAGTGATGCAACCTGTGAGTCTTTAACCGTTTCCATGCCCTTGTTTGTTGCCCTGCTCTCTCTGCCTTGAGCGGATTCTTTTCGGTCACTGGGGGAGCATGTGCCGTCGGCCTCTGGTGAGCTGCGGAGCACAGTGCTGGCCTCGTGGTCAGACGAGCTGTTTGAGTAACAGCCGGCTGACGTGGGGCTACTGCCCAGCACAGGGAAGTTCTTGGGCATAGATGAGGTGTTAGGATGCATGTCATTTCTGAGGTGGTGAGTGAATCTGTGGGAATCAAAGCTTCTAAGACTACGACGACTCCATGTGTAGCTCAGATTCTTTTCTAGAAGTCTTTCCAGCTCATCTTTGTCCTCTTGACATTGTGGTTCTCTGGCAAGACTTAGACTCAAGTCCAGTCCCGTACAGACAGCCAGAGAGCGACGCTTTTCCACCATCTCACGTTGACGCTCTAGACGTTTCTGCTCCTTAAGCTCCCGTTCTTCATTTTCCTGTATAAAATGAATTGAGCAAAAGGAATATTGGTCATTTTAAAGGGTTCACTGGTTAAAGGGAAATGGTGGTTACTGCAGTATTTAACCTGGACAGCTCTTTGGAACCGATGACAAAACAAATGGAAGGTTTTACAAGCCTCCTCCAATTTGAAAGAGATGTCATCTTCACAGAGGAAGTCCATCAGAGCACGACTCGACATCCTCATACCCTCCACCTCATCATCTGCCTCCATCAGACGCTCCTCAGCCATCTGCAAACGTTTTCAAAAGATGTGCATCACGCCTGTTGATTTTTGGAGAATTTTTGTTATGTTAGACTATAGATCCCATAGTGTGTTGACTACCTTCAGAAAAGACTGTGCATGCTGCAGAATCTCTGCCTCGGTTTGTATATTGGCCTTCAGGGCAGCCACTCTGCTTTTTAACTTTGCCAAGTCATCCAGCACAGCCTCCTCACACAACCTGCAGAGATTTACAACTATAATTAGAAATGTAGTAAAACAGATGTGTTTTTCTTCTGAAGAAAGGTTGCATGACAAAAATGGGCTGTAAATAGCTAACAGCTGAATGTGCATCATTCAAAGTGGACGGGGGTTATTACTTAGCACCTTCCTCTGGGTAAGAATCAAAGAATAACAGCATTACACTCAGACTGGCCCAGACTGTACTCTTAACCTTCTTTCCAAAGGCACTTAGCAACAAGTATCAAGAATATTAGATAACAGTAGTAGATTTAAATCCAGTTTAGGAGGTACTGTTTTTTTGAGCAGTGTTGGTATGTCCCCTCAGACTTATTCACAGCAGTATTGGAAGCAACCAACCTGGAGGCGGAGCCAACGTGGCCTAGTTGGCTGGGAAATGACAGTAAACTCTGGTATTTCTTCACTGCTTCCTGCGGAGACAAACACAATTGATTATCCAGCCATTGTCTACAAAGAAAAAAAAACCAATATCATTTAATGGTGACAAAACTCACCAGCCTATCAGCCTCTGTTCTGAACTTCAGCTCAGCTATGCTGACTGTTATGTCCCAGAATTTAGGTTTAGCACTGAACTTACGCGTCTAAACAGGTGAGAAGTTACTTAGTTATCTTTCACATGAATTCTATTGAATTACCCACTGGGGTAAGAATTTAATGAACAACATTTGTGTCATTGAATGTTTTAAAAAAAATGCCAATCTTAGATGCATTTTAAGACTTATTTGTATTTGAATATTATCCAGAGTGCCAATTGTAAACTAATAGAGAAATGGGTTTATTATTGTTTGCAGAAAAAGTCATTAAAGTACAAAAATGACACATAAACTGCAGTTTTAGTTTGATGATTGAATCTGAAAAGTTGCTTCATTTGATAAATTTAATACCCCTCAGTCATGGGTCAATCTGACGATCCTCACTGGGATCAAACCTTGTATTCTCATACATTCATACAGGCATCTATCCAACAGTCAGTCAGTCCATCCGTCCATCCATCCATGTTTATGTTTATTTATGTTTATTTATTTGGCAGACGCTTTTATCCAAAGCGACTTACAATTTATAACCTATAGGGCATGTTGTGAACTGTGGGGGAAACCGGAGTACCCGGAGGAAACCCACGCATGCATGGGGAGAACACGCAACTCCACGCAGAAAGGCCGCAGCCGAGTTTAAAACCTGCAACCTTCGTGCTGCTAGGCAACAGTGCTAACAACTGCGCCACCATGCAGCCTGTACATACATACATACATTTATTCGTCCAGCAATCCATCCATCCATCCAACAATCCACCCAACAAGCAATCCATCAATCCCCTTCAATGAGGTACAAGATTCAGGAAGGAAAGTCAGACATCCTTCTCCCTAGCAACAGTGTCTAGTTGCTTCTAAGAAACAACAAAGCATTTCCAGACCAGAGGAAGTATAATCCATAAAGTTGGATCTGATTTCTTCCTAGTGGGGATGTGCCCAATAAACCTCAGGAGGAAGGTGACCAGGAGACATCCAAGTCCAAAGTGTAGACCACCACATCTGACATGTGCAAGAGCAGTGACTCCCTTATGCAAGAAAAATATATGCAACCATGTATTGATAAACAATATATGGAAGCAAAAATGTAGGAAAATCTGAGGTATTTGACAATATACCAGCATAATATATAACGATAATACATAAGGAATTGCTGCTGTTCTTTTATTGGTGAATATATTCCGTTATCTATTTAAGTAAGTGACCCATCATACAAGAAATAATATACCACTGAAATATATTGTCATATATATCTAATTATATATCTTTATAATATATTGCAATACTTGTGATAGTACATAAGTGCTGGTTTTCATATATTAGAATTTACATAAAATTATATGTTACATATAGATATGTGATAGAATAATACTTTACACATTGATACATTTTGTCATATCTTTCATTAATTAAAATTGCTGAACTAAATAGACAAATTTTTATATTATATAATTTCTTGCTATATATGACCTATATCTCCACTTAATACATGATTACACCTGGCTGTTTATTCTTTAATAAATATATATTTTAACCTGTGTCTGAATGCTATACCTCTCTCATAAATATTTAAGTACACACATATTTGTATGTGTATGAATATATTATATATATTCTCACATATATTCAGATATTTGGTGTTCATGTAACTTTGCATTTATTTTGGAATCAGTTATCAGATTTCTATATGTTGGATTATATTGTTCAACACGTTACTGTATATTGTACAACATATTCCAATATGTTTTTCTTCCGTAAGGGCTCTTCTCTCTAGGTGACTGAGCATCTAAAATTTCCTCTAAAGCTGAGCCCAACCACCCCTTGGGGAAAGCTCCGTTAAGGTGCTTGTAGTCAGGATCAAATTGTTTCTGTTAAAATCAAAACTTTGAGACCAGAGGTAGGGTTGAAATATTAGCAGACCACTGAACAGGAGTTTTGCCATTTGGTTCAGAGGCAAAGACAAAGCCCTGATCAGCTGGCTAAGATTGCCTGTGGCAAAGACATATTCTCAACTCAAAGGTACAAATTTGCTTTTTCCAAGATGAAAACTACACTGTAAAACCTGTTTTAATGAAACTGATTACATTAAAAAAATGCTGAGTTAGTGAAACTCAAAAATAGTTGAAAAAACATATTTTATTTTGTTGCTTTAGATTCCTATTTTTAAGTTACGTGATTTTTTAAGTACATATATTTTTCTGGGTGTTCTCTACCTCATATTCTTAGTTTGTAGTTTTAATTTAAATCAAGTATAAAATACTTGAAATTTTGATTACCCTTCACTGTTAACCCAGATAAGTTGAATTGATGGGACGTTCGTAAACAAATCAAATCAAATCTTTTGAACAAGTTTTCAAAGTGAACGATGAGAGTCCGGTCCCTGTGGAAAACCGTACATCTTTTCTTACAGGTAACAAACCTCCCTGGAAGTCGGTAAAGAGCACACGCTCAACCCCCACCCACTGCTGTGACGGATGTTGGCCTCACACACCCATAACTGCTGACAGCCTGGGAGAATAACACACGAAGCCAAATCCAGAAAATTTGGTGTAAACCACCAAGTCATCATTGACATTGAACAGCACAGCGTGGTCATTCACTTGACCAACCTCCTCACTTACGGTGCCAACATGACACAACAGTAACTCCACATTTGCAACACTGAGCAAAGTAGTAACTACAAACAACACAACCCCTCTCAATAAACATGCATAAACACCCCCAAACAGAAAAAAATAACTCAAAACAAGATTTCCCACAATGCACCTCACCCACCAGTTCTTTATTGTTCCTGAAATCCATCAAAACTGATTGTCCTTGGTTGTTTCTTCTATAGGTCCACAAAAAACTATATATATATATATATATATATATATATATATATATATATATATATATATAATTCAGTTTATCAGGCACACTTAAGGTGACGTACAGATGAATAGAATAAAATAAAAACCTAAAATGATAAATAAATCCTTTTTTAGTTATTACTAATTCCAGTGAAGTTGTTCTTTATTAATTTTTTTAAGTTATGTTTACTAAAAAAATAGCTTACAAAGTCTGAGTTCTATGTAATTAAAACAAGGAAAGGCCAGAACTAACTCAACAGATTGAGGCCTAGTCCACACGTAGCCGGGTTTTTTTTAAACGAATATCCGCCCCTCCAGAAACTTGCATCCACACCACCTCCTTTAAAAAAAAAACCCTAGTCCACACGTACCCGGATAAATACGTTGTTAAGGACATGCCAGACCTGTAGGCGGCAGTACTTCCCCCGTTCTTAACCTCGTCCTTCACCTGTGGTCTTCCGCAAGGAGCAGTAATTCCGCTTGCAAAAACAAACAAACAAAAAGCGCTTGGACAATTGATAAAGCGAGCGCAGCTCTGAGGCATCCATGCTGTCGGCTAGTGTAAACACAGGTCGCACACGTGATGTCAGCATTTTTTTGTCGCGGAAAGTGACGTTGCGGACCTTAAAACTCCGGTTTTGTCTGTCCACACGCAGACACCCAAAACGGAGAAAACGCAGATCTTCACTTTGGCCAGAGATTTTAAAAAGATCCGTTTTTGTGTGAAAAAACTCCGTTTTCGTGTGGATGACAGGCCAAAACGTAGAAAAATATCTACGTTTTGGCAGATCCCCGGCTACGTGTGGACAGGGCCTAAGTTCTAAAAGCTATTTTAAAATGATGGGTTTCACCTGCTCAAAATGTTTGGGTTTACAGTGGTGTCATTTTTGGAGGAGCGGACTTCCCACACAACTGCCTCAGAGCACACTGAAGCCCATCTAGCACACCTCAGTTCTTACTTGTTTCATTCCAAACACAAAGAAACCAATCATCATTCTTGTAAAATGTTTCTCTGATAATCTATTGACAATGATAACTTTTTCAGACCATTTCATACTTTCAGAACATACCATAGCAACAAAATGGAGCAGATTCATCCCTGGCTTGTTGGCTTTAGTGTCAGCCAGTTTGAGTAGCGATGAAATTCGAAAGCCAGCTGCATTCCCTGCATATCCACCCTGAGAAACCACGCAGAAGACAACTTTAAACAAACAGTGAATCAAAAACCACATGCAAGACCAGAGTGATGGCCCTGGACCTAAATCCTAGTGCATCTGAAGTATACGCAAATACAATAATCTTTTCTGTTTAAAAAGGACTCACAGCATTCATATAGTTCCCAGCTCGCAGCACCAAACGCAGGATGGAGTGTAATTCTGGACAGCTGAGTAGTTCTAGAACAGTAAGATCAATGATTATGAAACAGTTGCTTGGAACTGAGACCAAGACTACAAAAACAAATCAGCAACTTTTATACAAAAAGTAGATTTCTCCAAAATCATTCAGTGGAAAGCAAGTCCATTGTGGCGCCTGACACCACCACACAAGAATCAACAGAAGAATTCTAGCTGGTCAACAAAGTCCCAGGTCTTAATGGAGGTGGAGTGCACAATCCCATGCTGTTGTTTTACCTCTGGCTGCCTCCCTCAGACATCTGGCTGCCACACACAGAGAGGTCACAGCAGGGTCAAACTCCTGTTGCAGGATCATGGCATCCAAACGTAGCCGAAAACTAAAGAGAGACAAAGGAGAGATGGACCCCTCAACGGGGATGTTTGAGTGATGACAGAGACTAAAAAGGTACTCAAGAGCAGTCATCAGTTTAAAAAAACACGGCAAGAAATAAGGAAAAACAAAAACAAGGAAAAGGGTTTGAAAACAGCTTTAAAACAGGGCATTCTTTTGGAACATATTCATGCATTTTAATAGATGAGAAGAAGCATACCTGGGGACTTCCACCAACAGCAGCATAAAATGATCAGGCTCTCCCAGGCAGCTCCGCTCTCCACTGAACCTCCTCAGGCGGGATTCCTGAGAGAGAGTGAGAGAGAAAGAGAGGAAAGATGCTGCATTAAAAAAAAAACACCTTTTGTTAAAAAACAAAACACGATGTTAACAAAGTAAATTAAGATATATTTTGGGGGTGGATCTCGTCTACAAACAGACCACATCATACAGCATGGTGTACTGGCAAACGTTTGATCATCCTAACCAAAGCCAGATGAGTGGTGGGGGTGGGGGAGAGGAAGGAGCTTGACACTGACATAGGAAAAGAAAAACATTACCTCCTCAGTGTCAGGCAGCAATTTGCAGAGCTCAGAGAGCTTTTCTGCTCCGTAACGATCTCCAGCACCACGTCTAATGTCCTTAACCATCTCCTTAGCAGGCCTGTGGAGATACACCGACATGTTTTAAAGCGAGATGTCCACCAGAAAAGCATTTTTCAGCTTGAAAGCAGGTGTGATCCTAACAGAGAAACAGGCTATTTTCCACTTTTTCTACAACTGTAGGTGAATGGGGTGAATGGGGTTATGCAGGGAGAGCAGTCTGATGCTAAAACGGAGGAAACAGAGCGCTTCCAGCCCATCATAATCAAACAGAAAAGTCTTTATACTCATATACATGTGACTGAGATCCAAAACAGCTGAAGACTGAAGCATTTTCTAAAGGACTTCCTCCAGAAACGGAAGCTCAACTTTTTAAACCCAATGAAAACAAAACATTCAATGGCCATGAAGTACAAAGGCCATGACATGAAATGAGTTTTAAGTCTTTACTCCAGCACTGATGACACAAAAACTGGATTTTGTTTCAACCACTTTTTAAAAGCTCCACGACAGAGAGCAAACAGGGGCCCGAGAAGACAAATGTTTGACTACAGATGAGGAGTCTTTTCTCATTAAAGCTCTCCCTACAAGTCTCAACAACTCCGAGTTTAGAAAGGAAAACCATCTCCAGTTGGCGTGGTGGCATGGCGGTTTTGTTACTCTGCTGTCTTCAGACTATACCAAAGGTTAAAGATAATGTAAACTGGCTTAAATGATTCTGAAACGGCCTTTTCCATGACAGTACACGCAGCTTTGTTTGAACCAGGCAAACGGACTAATGAGGCTTTGGAGGATGGATGAATATGACAAACCACCGGTGAGGTCTCTCTCTGTGGGGGGTGGGGCTTTAAGATTAGACACTCTTTATGGGCGCCAGCAGGTGTCAACTTTGAAACTGAAAGAGCCACTTACTCATCACCCCTCCCTAAACCCCAGCTGCTCAGGGTGCAACCTCTCCCACAATACACCAGACATCCCCTCTTCTAACAGGACTTCACACTTGTGACGTTGTTTGGGCCACTGTTGACACATGGCTGGTTTTCCACAGATCAAATCAAGGAAGTGCTGTTTCCCTTGGGAACAGTTTGATACAATAAAGTCTTTTTGTTTTCAACATTAAATTTGATCTCGATTGATCTGGACACAGTTACACCATAAATCCTAATGAACAAGGCTGCAGCTGTTTCTTTCTCAATAATAATTTAATCTGTTAAGGACCAAAAAAATGTCATCAAAAGACAACCAGTTTTTTTTTTCTTGGTGCCCCAGGAAATGCTCCAATGTCCAAAGATATTTGGATTACTGTAATCTGATAAGCTAAAAACTTTCAACGTTTTACCTGATCAGTCAACTCTTCAGCTCTTTGATTTCTAGAAGGACTGCATGTTGCCCATCGCTTTTCATGCCAGAATTGTGAAGTAAGATTTTTTTAATGTAGAGGTGTAGTGGTGTTATGGTCAAATCTTGAGACTCAGATTTTGCAGGACTAGTTTAGGCTTTAATTCAATTCAATTCAATTCAAGTTTATTTATATAGCGCCAAATCACGACAAGAGTCGTCTCAAGGCACTTCACATAGTAAACATTCCAATTCAGGTCAGTTCATTAAGCCAATCAGAAATAATGTTTCCTATATAAGGAACCCAGCAAATTGCATCAAGTCACTGACGAGTGTCAGTGACTATACAGCAATCCTTATACTAAGCAAGCATGCAGCGACAGTGGAGAGGAAAACTTTTGCGGCTGTAAAAGCGACTTGGGTAATGCCATTGTTGTGCTGAGGGGCTAAAATGAGCTAGGACTAGCTATTGGGCCATTGTGAATCAGAATGACTTCAAGAGCGAATCAACTGTAGGTAAACTTTTATTTATTACTTCATAACATTTCCTGTGGTTTATGAGATATTTTGCTAACGGACAAAGTTGATGCCAATGGTAAATTGTTAACTGGTGCACGGTCTGTTAGCACTTAGAACATTAGTTCGGAATAAATCTCAACCACTACCACGCCAGCATTTAGCCCAACAGCGGTACCATTTTCTAAGTCACAGTCATGTGTCTGCTAATGTTGATTAGCCCCTTGAAGCAGGCTGACACAGGCTGTAAATGTGCACCCAATGATTATTTTACAAGTTTTATTAAAGCCCAGTGCTTTGTGAAATATTTGATCCTCGCATTTAAGAAGCTTACGTTTTGAAGTGACGCAGGAATATTCCAATATTCATACTGCGTTTGGAATCCAAGAGGGAGATCTGTAAATAGGAACACCGACATGTAAGGCCAGGAAAATGGAAAGAAAACAATGTTGCTGTTTTTTATAGTTTGGGAGGTCTCACCTGTTCCGGGCTATCCTGTACAGATCTGCAGTGCGTTAGATCAGACCGCCGCCTCATGATTCTGGTTCTGTCTCTCAGCTTGCAGTCCTTCTGACCAAACAGCTCATCCAGAGAATGAAGGTCTATGGGGAACTCATCCTCGCCTGGAGCAGCCCCACTCCACACACTCTTTCTCCCCTCTACCTTCTCTTTGGGGATCCTCTCCCAGTTTAACTTCCTCAGCTGGCTCTGGCGAATACTATCTGTCCGGCGAAATGGTGAGGACTCTGCAGGAGGAGGAGGAGGAGGAAGAGGAGGAGGAGGAGGGGGTGGCAGAGGGGTGAGCAGCACCTGATGTGACTCCATGGCTGTCACTTCCAGGGTAGCGGGCACAGTTCCATGAAAGGCACGAGTTTCTTTGATGGCCACAGTGAGGCTGATGTGCAAAGAGGCAGCCAGTTTGGTTATGGGAAGGGCTGCAGCAGGTGATCAGGCTCCGCTGCTCTTTAACCCAGGATGCCTCCTCAGGATCAAAGTTCAACCAATAAATCTAGACCACAAAATGACAAAATAAACACATTTAAACAAAAACATTACCAATCGGGAACCCCCGCTATTCCAAAGTCTTGCTGCAGAATCATCAGCTTACGAGAAGTTAATGGCTCACCTGAAACTTGGCCTTTCCCTTTCATTATAAACCTGACTTTGCTCTGCAGAATGAAAGTCCCACCAGAACATAAAGATGGCCCTTTTAAATAAGATGAGCTATTTCCATATGTGGGTTGTTTGAACAGCTTGTCCCATCCTGTTCAGTTTCACCCCTCTGCACAAACACACACCTCCACCTTACATGCTGCATGCTAATTACAAAATATGGAAACACCAAAGCCAGGGAAGGAGCAAAGCTAACTGCAACGCTGGGAAATGAACGGTCTGTATCTCAGATCTTTATCAGTTTAACTCACTTTGCATCAGCAGCTTTTCAGCAGGATAAGTTTTACATTTGACTCAAATTCACAGCAAATTAGCTCATTTATAGCTTTTGTTCCCGCTTGGCCCAAACACATTGCCTCGTCCCTTCTTGCATGAGTCAGTCAGTCATAATAACACCTGAACCTGCAGGGATGCACTTGCCAGCCAAGCGGTTCCGCGGTGATGCGCATGAGCGCGCTGCAAAAACAGCACGGGCTGATCACAGCTCTGCATCAACACCAGTTCAGCAGACTTTTACATTTTTAAAGATAAAAAAATCACTTGTCAAATCTTGCTGGCAAGGCAGAGTGAAAGAGAAGCTAAACAGAAACCCGACTTTATTTTTCCTTAAAAAATACTTTTTAGATGTCTGTGTGGAAGTAGGAGAAGTGAAAACTGATAAAGTGCAGGTTAACGCAGCCCACTAAATAATAACCATAATAAACAATTAAAAATATACGCAAGTTTAAAAATAGACACTGTTTTAATCATTTTCGTGTCTCTAATCCGAATCTCGTAGCCTACCTGTTGACGAATCCTTTTCCAGCAAGCTGAGGATAAAACTCCTGACTAAAGTCAGACCCAGTCTCGCGACGTCCATGCGCGTTAGTTTGTGATCCTGTGTCTGCTGCTCTCTGGTGCTCCTCAACTTTCAGGGAAACTTCCACACGCTCCTCACGGTGCGAACGCGCACGCGCGCTCTCCGAATCCGAGTCCTCCCAGTTTTCCCATGAGGAAGATTGGGTGTGTGAGTGGGAAAAAAAAGGGGGGGGGGGGGGGGGGGCTTGTTCTTTTCTCTACTTTTTATCCACTTTTAGACTTGTCTCGATTAGTTTAAAAATATTTATTACAAATAAGATGAAGCTCTGATTTTATGAAAATTGAAGGGGTGTGTGACGGAACTCTGTATCAAAGTCCACTGTCAGGAGCTGTGCAGACAACTTGATCTGTCTCCATTTCAGGGTTATCACCATACATCTCTGATCTGTGGTTGGTGCAGAGGGCCTTGATCATGCAATAAACCCGAAAGATGGAGCAGATGGCTATCAGACGAGGAAACTCTGTCCATATCTCCTTACTGACACCAAAGTGACACACTGAGGTAGAGCTAAGAGGCCATGAGACCCTTCAGGGTGCTGACGTGGCTCCAGGTGCTATAGGATGCAGACCCACAACAGCCACCTTTCATCTAAGGTGCCTGAGCTCTCCTGGCCCATGTCACCTTCAGTTCTCCAAAGTCCGGCTCAGGTAGCCCCCTTCACCTACTGCGCTGACAGACGGCCGTCATCACTTCATGAGGCTGAAGTAATTAGCAGGTTACGACCCCAAATATCTGGATTTTATTGTGACTGAACCAGGAGGTATGTCATGGAGCACCCTGCCAGAATAAACCGCTCTCAGGAAACTTCACTTTCTATTCACTCACATCTCAGAGTACAGAGCACTTCTCAGAATACGAGGAAATGCCTCTGTTGAGAGACAGCAGCTTTATAGTCCATCAGGGGACTGAACAACCCTGAACAAATCCACCTATTATGTCTGCATCCATGCAGCGCAGGCGTGCTGACAGTGATTAATAAATAAGGAGGACTTGGCACTTCTCAGTTGTTATACCAACATAGTTAAGTTGCACAGAGACAAATTGTCTCATGTTAACAATCCCAGTAGCGCTTTGAGCTGTTTGACCCTGTTGTGCTTATTTTTCCTGAACAGATCCAAAAGATTACAGCAGACATCTCTGTAGCTCAGCTCTAAGTTCAGGGGGCGAACGCAGCTTTGCAGCAAGCTTCAACCCTCCGTCGTCTCCACTTCTTAATCTCACTTTGAAGTCCCAGAGAGGTTGCGCAAAGGTGAAGCCTATTAGCTTCTGCATACCCTACTTTCCATGCAGAACTCAAGTCCATGCACTACCCCCCAATCAGCCTCAAATGTGAAACAAAACCAAAATACAAAAAACAGTGGTTGAGAATTCTTTCCTCACACAGCAATCACATACCTGTGCTGCAGAAACAAATGCCAAAAATAAATGCAATAGAATAATTTTTTTTCCCAGATGCTCCTTTTTCTTTCATGTGTAAAAGGGGCTGTGAAAGGGCTCCGTATGGAACTATTGATATCACAAACCACAGCTTCATGTTAGGCGGTCTCTGCTGAGTCCAGTCTGCCTCCTATAGGCCACTTCCATAGCTGAGCACATGGGTCAGTGGGGCTCTGCGGGAGTATCAAACTCCTGTGTAGACTTTGTGTGTGTGTGTGCGTGCATGCGTGCGTGCACGTGAGGAAATGGCATACACATGTGCACACCTGGGTTTCATTCCAGACTGGGACAGCAGGTCTGGGGAGGTCTTCCTAATCAAACCCAGCCTCCACAGACCTTTCTCCATTTCCCAGCTGCTCTCAGATCACATGTGGTTGTCTGGAAAGGCCCGACAAGGATCTCTGCCTTTGGTCCGACAGTCTGATGAGGAGTGACGTGCAAAAGCAACCCAACAGATGACACAAACCCTTCTGTTGTTTGCTGTGCGTACACATTAGAAAGCATTTCATGGTTTATTATCATTATTATGTGTGTGTACTACAGATTTCTTAAAAATAACTTATTGTATATGCTAAGCAGCAATCCCCCTGATTGGTTGGATTAAAATTGCAGACAGCAGATACTAAACTTTGCACCTCAGTTTATTTTCATAGCACAACTGATGCTTTGCTGTGTTTTCCAAGCTGTCTGTCTTCACCACATTTTTAGCCTTTGGGTGCGTGTGCATGCATCAGAATGTATGTTGTCTTGTGTTTTCAGCGAGTTAAATTCCTCTCAGGTTGCAAAGAGTGGATGTTTGTGGTGAGGAGGCCTTGCATACATTGTATGTGTTGAAAGAATCTCAGCAGGGTGGAGGGGAGACTTGAGGTGCTTGTGGTCAGTTGTCCTTGTGGAGACATTTGTGTTGACTCTCTTGGTCTTTGCACATCTGGACACTGACGCCACTTCCGACTCCAATTAGGATTTCCTGAGACTCAAAAGGGGATTAATGAGCAGACTTCCCCAACTTTCTTTCTTGCTGCAGCTGCTGCAGGCATTGCACTTGTCAGAACTACAGTCGCACTCCACTAGCTGTTCATAATGTCACGGGCACATTCATTCACATAGACAGATGACCTTTTCATTTCCCTCTGTCTCTCTCACTTGGTTGTGAGACGTAAAACGTTTGTATCTGGCGAAATGACTCAAATGCCTTGTAAAGGAATCACAAAAAGAAAGCTAAATAAATGTCTCCCTAAGTGGTGGATGTGAGACCAGCCACAGTGTTTTTACCAACCTGTGGTTGGGCACAAAGCCCTGCAGCAGAGTGCAGGGAAGTTGGGATGCACTGGTTGGTCCTGAGCGGCTGCTTGTGTGGCAAGAGTGATCACACAGTTAATGTTCAAAGGGCTGAGTCTGTTGTAAAGAAGCTACTAAATAGAGATTGACAAAGCGCATCGGTCAAACAAAGGCTTCTCCCTAAAGTAGGCTGTGTGTGTAGCTAGAGGAGTAGTGCGGTGGACTTTGCTGGGTCGGCCATGTATGGAGTCTATAGAGAGTTATTAAAGCAGGGCCTCTTTCCATTTATCCATTTACCTCCAAACCCAACCACATGGGACTCTAGGCTTTAATTGGTTTTTAATTCTGACAGGAAAAAGGTCATGCTGTTTAAAATCACAGCAAATGCAGCTCAATTTATCGCTTGTTTTGCATTAAAATTTCCATCAGAGAGATCGACATTAACATTGTTCCCAGTGGTCCCACATGGCTGTCACGTCTACGTGCTTTACGTTGAGTGATTCCCTCCAACACACACACACACACACACACACACACACACACACACACACACACACACACACACACACACACACACACACACACACACACACACACACACACACACACACACACACACACACACACTTCAACTGAACCTAATTATTCCACTCCTGCTTCTCTGTGCCAATGAGTGATGTCACCCACCGAGCGACGGTGTTGGCCCTGGGCCCGAGGGCGGTCATGCTGACAGGGAGGAGAGGAGGAAGTTAAAAAGAAGATTAGCAGTTCAGAGGTTCCCAAAGTAGGGAAATGTGGGGAGACCCCAAGAGTTTTGGCCAGCCCAGCGGAGCAGGGATTAACCACCCCACTCTGCTGCTGAACCCACAGTACCTGGTCTCCCTACTGCTCCATCTGCATCACCCATAAAGACACTAAAGCAAACGTTTAGGGCTGAAAGGAAAACACAGAGGGGCCATGAGAGCAGGTCTCAGGGGACTCTCTTCAGGATTATTCTAGCTGCCACCCTCTTCCCATCATTTCCACTGGAATTTATCAGGCCTTGGCAGAAGCTTATTCATCATGTCTAACTTGTTGCATAACAATGCAGGATGCCTTGTCCTGCAGCACTGGAACTGTTGGTAAAACAAGGCACCCTTGGGCCCCAGGAGCCCCTGAGCCAAGGCCGAATTTCTAGTGTTGTGGGGGGAATCTTTTGACGCTGTAGCTGTTGTGTGATTTACTGGAAATTTGGGGCAGACGTCATAACGGCAAGAGGAAATAATGAGTGGTGTAACAGCGTGGGACAGCTCTGAGTTTCATAATTATGGAAATGTTTCTTATCTGCTCTCTCGTTAGAGGAAAAGACCTATTCCACTTCTGTCTGAATGCTTCTATTGGACCAAAATGTGTGTCTTCTGCCTGGCTTGGCTCTCCACAAACAACATGTAGAATCCCAGTTGCATTCAGAGTGAACTAAACACTTGTGGTGAGTGATGATCAGCCCCAGCTCACCAGAACAAACAGCAAACTCTTCAGTGTGACCCGGTGTCCTCTAAAGGGGACATTGGTTTCTTGCTCTATAACATTTAACTGTCTTCCACTTAGACCTGTCTGTCTAAGAAAACATACTCACACCAAAAAAATCTATAGGTCTGAGGAGGTTAAACTGGGATGGCTTGATTTTGTTTGGCCAAGATGTAGTTTAGTGTGTCTGACATTAGTCTGGTCAGAAGTTCTACATCCAAAGTATAAAATGTTGCCATTTCCCAGCTCCTATGAACATTCACTGACCTCACAAGGTCTTTGTTTCAAACGTTCCCATTAAATCAACGGTGTTCATCTGTTCTTCTCAATCACAAAACTGATTCCAGAGAAACTCAGAAACAATCACTGGATGTACATTTTCTGATTAACGACAGGAGTCAACCCAATTGAAGATGGCCAACACACTTATTCAGCATTAGCCAACAAATAAATGGCTACACTTCTATCCGTTTTACAAACACTGAGCTAACAATTGTCGTATAACTAGATGAGAGTCATTCAAAACATGCTTTCACTGCTAACCAATGAAACCAGAACTGGTGATATTTTGTGAGAGTCTGCATCACGATTTGTCATATTTGACCACAGTGGCCATAAACCTATCAGTTTTCTATGCAGATTATTTCATTTGGTAACACTGTACAATAAGGGACCCTTTTTAACGTTACCATTATTGTTAACAGTGTCCTTAATGTTAGGACAGAGGACAAGGGGGTGTTTATGTTTATGTATTTAGCAGACGCTTTTGTCCAAAGTGACTTACAAGTGATAATCGGCATGTTGCCCTTGAGGCTAACAACAACAATAACAACAACTTGACATCAATCATG